GCTCCTTCAGCAGGTTCTTGGTCTCCCGCCTTCTACTGGTCCTCCTCCTCCCTTAGAGTGTCCACAGCCTGTCCCGTCGCAGTTACAGTTACAGCCGGCCTCCCCACTGCCTGCTCCGTCTCCCTACACTGGTCCTACTGGAGGTCTTGCTGAGCGTCGTGAGCCTGCGTCTCGCCCTGCGTCGCCTGTCCGTGCTGCTCGCACTAGTGGTCGCGGTTCGCGTCAGCGTCCTCCTCCTGTCCCTGGCACGCACCGGATGTCTCTGCGTCCGTCCACTGCTCCTCTGCGTGCCCCTTTGCCTTCTCCTCCTGAGTCTTCTCTTCCTACTCTTGCCGACCCGGAGTCGGACTCTCTTCGCGCTGCCAGTCCTACTGTCACGCGTCTCCTTGCTACGGTTGTCACTGACCCTTCCTTTGAGTCCACTGCTGCGTCTGCTCTAGTTGCTGAGCTCGTCGACTTTGCTGCTCGCTGTCGCCTAGACTACGTCGCCAGTCTTGTTGCTGAGTCTGAGTCTGTCTGTCCTCCGTCCGTCGGGGGTGAGTGTGCCCTTGGCACGGACGTCCTTGAGGACAGGCAGGAGGAGTTCCAGTGCTTGGCCGCTGCTTCACCTCATCTCGTGTCCGTACTGCTTACCCCTGAGGGAGACCCGGATGCACTTGACATCCCGACTCCGCGCTCTTACGCGGAGGCGATAGAGGGTCCCTACTCCTCTCAGTGGCAGGCAGCTATGGACGCAGAGATGGCTTCCTGGAAGTCCACAGGCACCTACGTTGACGCTGTTCCCCCTCCTGGGGCGAACATCGTCAGTGGCATGTGGATTTTCAGGGTGAAGCGATCGCCGGGTTCTCCGCCTGTCTTCAAGGCGCGTTACGTGGCTCGTGGCTTCAGTCAGCGGCAGGGAGTTGACTACTTTCAGACCTTCTCTCCCACCCCGAAGATGACCACTCTTCGGGTACTGCTGCACGTAGCTGCTCACCGTGACTACGAGCTACACTCTCTTGACTTCAGCACTGCTTTCTTGCAGGGCAGCCTGCACGAGGAGATCTGGCTGCGTCGCCCACCTGGCTTCACTGGGTCTTTTCCTCCTGGCACCCAGTGGAGCCTACGGCGGCCAGTCTACGGTCTCCGCCAGGCACCGCGTGAGTGGCACGACACACTGAGGACTACACTTGCGGCTCTTGGGTTTGCTCCCTCTACTGCCGACCCGTCGTTGTTTCTGCGCACCGACACTTCTTTGCCGCCGTTCTACATCCTCGTGTACGTCGACGACTTGGTCTTTGCCACAGCTGACACTGCTGGACTAGCCCACGTGAAGTCCGAGCTGCAGAAGAGACACACGTGCACTGACCTGGGTGAACTGCGCAGCTACCTTGGCTTGCAGATCACTCGGGACAGAGCACGCCGCACCATTACCCTGACTCAGTCACACATGGTGCAGCAGGTCCTTCAGCGCTTTGGCTTCACGTACTCCTCGCCTCAGGCCACTCCTCTGCCTACTCGCCACTCGCTCTCAGCTCTGCCTTCGGATGAGTCCGTAGAGTCGAGTGGCCCGTACCCAGAGCTTGTTGGCTGCCTCATGTACCTGATGACCTGCACACGACCTGACCTTGCATACCCTCTTAGCATTCTTGCACGCTATGTTGCTCCTGGGAGACACAGACCGGAGCACATGGCTGCAGCGAAGAGGGTGTTGCGCTACTTGTGCAGTACGTCGGGCATGGGGCTTGTGCTTGGAGGGCAGAGTCCAGTGGTCCTTACTGGGCACGCAGACGCTTCTTGGGCTGACGACCAGGCTACGCAGCGGTCGTCACAGGGTTACACCTTCAGCCTTGGTTCCGGCTCTGTTTCGTGGCGGGCTACTCGCTCGTCTTCTGTTCTCGGCTCCAGTTGTGAGGCTGAGATCTACGCAGGAGCCATGGCTGCACAGGAGCTTCGCTGGCTCACCTACCTGCTGACTGACCTCGGAGAGTTGCCTCGTTCTCCTCCAGTGCTGTACGTAGACAACAAGGCCATGCTGGCCTTGTGTCGGGAGCAGCGACTGGAGCACAGAACGAAGCACATTGCTCTCCGCTACTTTCTTGCTCGTGAGCTGCAGCAGCGTGGTCAGCTGCGTCTTGCGTACGTGGCCTCTGAGGCCAACACTGCTGATATCTTCACCAAGGCACTTGCGCCTTGTGACCATCAGCGCTTCTGTACTCAGCTGGGCCTTGTGCCTACCTTGCCTCACTTGCTCACCTCTTGACCTTGCTTGTACTGTTACATATATATATACCTGCTCTTGTTTGTCTAGCCTTTTTTATATATATGTGTACTCCTGCTTGTGAACTGGCCTTGTGGCCTTGAACTTGTGCTCGGAATGTGTGGTGACTTTGTGATCCACCCTGAGCTTGTTTTTGCTTTGCTTTGCTTGACTGGTCTTGTGACCCCTTGTTCTCCCCCACTTTGCCAATGGGGGTGTGTCAGATTTATATGACATAGCTACTGTAGGCTAGAGTGGGGTAGCACATATGGGGTACAGTTTTCTAGGGTTTGCTTCTTGTACCCAACTTTCACTTAGTCATTCTCATTCCTGTTTTTCTTAATTCACATGTTCTACTTTATAGAACTCTGTATGTGAACTGGCCTTGTGGCCATTTGCTTGTGCTCGGAATGTGTGGTGACGTCGTGATCCACCCTGAGCTTGCTTTGCTCTTCTTGACTGGTCTTGCGACCTCTTGTTCTCCCCCACTTTGACTATGGGGGTGTGTCAAACTTATATATACTATAGTCTGTGTAGGCTGTAGTGGGGTAGATAATATAGGATACGATATTTTAGGTTCACTACTTGTACCCACCTCTCTCCTAGTGCATTCATTCCTCGTACTTTTTTCACATTAATATGTATGCTCTGAACTATGAAACATACACTCTACCTATCAAGCACTCTCCCACGCTGCTATCAAGTTTATGTTCTAACTATCAAGGATTCTCTGACTACGCTGCAACATAGGGCTTCCACTGCTGCAGTTCTACGTCACTGAAATTCTCTTTCAAAAAACTCGGACCCTTGGATAGGGGTTGACTTCGGTCAGGCACCCAAGGACCCTCAGAGGTGACCCCGAGAAGAGTTTTTCAGCTATCATGGAACTATCAGCAGTAGGAACTAAGTGATTTTCTCGTAACATTTATCAACTGTCATTCTGTTTTAGTAGGGTGTACAGCTTAATTTGGGGCGGGGGGGTCTTATATTCGTAACGAAAAACAGCCTTCGTGCGCAGATTTCGCGCGAGCGGCGCGTCACGTCTATGTCAGAATCTGAGTCTGACACAAACAAAGTGTCAGAATTCGAGTCTAATACAAAAGGCGTGTCAGAATTCGATTTTTTGCCAATAAAAGCTGACTCACATTAGCAATAACAACTACCGTATACAGACAAGCAGGGTCTTATGATGGTTAGGGGCAAAAGGGGGGTCCTCACAAAACCTGCCACAATAAGAGTTCCCCTACCCATTCAATAGTCCCGGGTGTCAGAGGTCCACTGGTGATCCCCGATCGATCCTAGGGAAGGGTTATAGGCACGGCGGCCTAGGGGGCTATGGGCGCACTCACTCACCATGTAAACAAGCCCTTTTATCCTAGTGGTTAGTGGCTGGGATTCTGACATGCTATCATAGCGAAGGTCTCGTGTTCGAGTCCCGATGTGTACACTTCGGGCATCCCAGTGCGAGGGGGGTGTCAGAGGTCCACTGGTGATTCCCGATCGATCCTAGGGAAGGGTTATAGGCACGACGACCTGGGGGGTTATGGGCGCACTCGCCCGCTACGTAAACAAGCCCTTTTATCCTAGTGGTTAGTGGCTGAGATTCTGACACCGGGGGACCCTCTTACCGGCGGGTCCTATAGGCGGCACTTTACGGTAGTAGTGGGCCCTTGACCTCAAATCAGAGTGAATGTAAAATTATTGAGATGATAAAAGCATGCATATAAATAAGAGCACAGGTGGAATTCGAAACGACCTAGACTAGCCATGTACTCTAAGGGGTACATTCCCTTATTGCAGCGAAATCCAACTGTGCGACTCCAGACAATTACGAAACTGTCCGGGCAGAATCCTCGCCACTACTGTTGCATGATGTTATCTGCTCTGACGGTTCAGATGCTTCGTAAATGTACGCGACTCTTCGCGTCATTCTGCCTCTTCGCATTCATCCGCGTCTTTGTGTGTTTCGCTTGCTGCGGTTAGGAGTGCATAGTGCCTTTTCTCATTTCACTATTCGTAACAGGTTTGACCAATCATGCAGCATAATGTGTAAACCATAATTCTCTGCATAGTACACGAAAAGACGGGGATGTTGGGTTGAGAAAATGCAAAGTTATATGTATTTCAATATCGAAGATCTCCACAATTAGATAGGGGGCTGTGATTGGAAATATACTTATAACACCTTTTGTCGAACAAATTTTTTCCAATATATGTATGTTTGTCTTCATAGGCTACAAAGGGCTAGGCTTTAGAGAGCACAATACTGACAAGAAGGCTCGACCCTTCTACATACTGTACAGGTCATACACGACGGGCACCTTGATTTGTGGCGAAGGTGGGGGTGACACGTACGTCAAGCGTTACCATAGAATCTGTGCAATTTGGCATTCCCGACGGCGACATAAGAATCTGGAGGATGAGACGAGCCCTTGACTGGGCTAATAGTGCTATGCCGTTACCGATTTTTCTCCTGGCAGTCCCTAAATAGTACATAGCTGACTCAGCAACACTGGTGATAACGGCACGGCAACTTCCAGCTCTGTCCACTGCACCATGACGTCACCTCCCGATTTTTTTCTCCCCTGCTCTCGTCCTCTCCGACCAAACTTCCCTCCCAACGCGCGTCGTTAAGATGCTCCCATGGCGCCGAAGCAAATGTTTCAGGTTGAAGGGGGTGATGTAGATCACTTGCAACACGAACATCAGATCCTCATTTCGAAATCGCCTCTTTTTCTTTCCTTCGTAGTTCATTGCCAGCATGAATCGCGCGACGTCACGCCAGCTCATCCTGTTCTGTAAGCACTTGCCACAACATCACTAGTCTGTGGATGCTCCCGCGTATGCGTCGCTGCTGTTAACCACCCTTATGAGCAGCTATTGTGGCTGGCCTTTGGTTCTGAGGGTCACTTAACCATCCCCGTCACTATCGCTCGTGCTCTGCCTGTCCGTCAGGTGCGGTGCTCCTCACTGCTGTCGCGTCAGCATCGCTCCTCACGCCTCTACTCCCACCCGACGCGCCTGCCTCTCGAACCAAACCCCTTAGGTGGAAGGGGCGGAGAATGAGTGAGTGTCTGCAGCGCGCTCAGCGCTTTGCCAGCAAATGATGAGTATGCAAATAAACGTTCTTCTACAACTTGTAGAAAATGTTCAGGCCTCATACTATGTTTAAACGAATATACAGATACAAACCATTTACTAGAGTGCTACATCGTTCAAACATAGTATACACTGGCCTCCTTTTTTTTGGATTAATACCCAACCGAGGTTGGCACTTCCTCGGAGGAGAAAGTCCGTCCTGTCTCAGAGGCACCTGCTGTGTGCATGCTGCTTGGGTGCTGCGTCTGAATGCTATGCTGGGCACTAAATAACCAGTCAGCATTTTGCCACCTGCCATGCTACCGCCACGCTGCTCCTCTCTACCTGTCGTAGAGCCATGCCTCCTCATCATCAACTATCCCCTTCCCCCTGTGCGCCCCTTCCCCTGCGAATCTCATCGCCAGGTAAGTACGTGGCCAAGCTGCGTCCCACTAAGATCAATGGGGGATTAGTTGGCGACAAAGGTGCATCAGGGAAATATGTCGTTGAAGCAGTGAGGTACGTCTCCTCTCCTTGTGATCACACCCTACTGGCTCTATTGTCAATAGCAAGGCATCAACAGAAGAACCTAGATTTGTGGCCCCACACTCCCTTCGCAACCCTCCTCCCAACGGCTGTCTGTCCCCCTTTTGCAATGATCGCTCTCTCCATGATGTTGTGTTGGCAGGTACTCAGGAACTAACAGCTACATGTACCTTACCCTCGACGTTATGAACATAAAATCCGGAGGAAAAGCACCCGCCGTAACCATCTCAGGTTCCTGTGCTGTCAATGCGCTAGGCGATACAGGACTTGGGTTCCTGAACATCACGAGCAGGAAAAGTGGCCGCCGCAAGCGCTACAGCTTCACGTACTCATTGACTGAAGGGCCCAAATCTGCAAAGGAGATACGCACCATGGTTGCTGATAAGGTGCTGCCAGCCAGGTTTGTGACAATTGGGCATGACATAAACTTCATGGCACTGTGCGGAAAGTTCAAAAAGCCGTCTTAGTGGATTCTTTAACTTTCTGAGGGTGCAAGTCCTTTCTAAATAGCTCATAACGAAATGGATTTGTGAGAACTTTGTGAGAACGCTGGTTATCTCCCGGATGTAGGACACCCCGGAAAAGAAGACCCTCGGGGTCTGTAAGGGCGTATTCCTATGGCCTCCTATCAAGGCCACCTCCTATCAAGATTCAAGACTGTACTTTTTGCCTGGTTAAGCTAGCGAGAGGTTTCAGGTTTAGGGGATTTTTCAGTGTGAGCTTGTTATGAGGTTCGCTTGATAGGAGGATAGGAGTACGTTCCACACCAGGATGGGTGTTACGAGTGCAATGGAACGAGTGTTAGAATATGGTGTTTTTATATAATTGCATGTATAGCTAGTAGTATAGGGCCTTGGTGGTATACCCTCCTTTGCCACCTTTGCTATTTCTTGTTATTCACTCCATATTGCAAACCCTCTTCTTTGGCCTAACCCTCTCACCAAGTTCCTAATTGTGAAGATAGCAAGCATGAATGAACATCAGAAAAGGGGTTGCACTAGCAGCAGATAGGATACATATAGCCAACCCTAAATTGGGCTGTACTTACTATAGAGTGCCCCCACTGCAGACTAGACAATTATAGCATTCTGACACATCCCCATAGTCAAAATGGGGTATGATCAGCACAGCAAGCAGTCGCATAAGAAGTTCATAAGCACAAGCAAAGTTAGAGGCAGTCACAAAGGGCAAGTGAGGAGGAGGGACTGTGAGAAAAGTGGAGATAGGAGGCGACGGGTGAAGCCACAGACACACGAGCAACAGGAGCGGCGCGCACGGGCTATCGGACACAAGCTAGGGTATCCGGACTACTAGAGTCACTTGTTAGAATCTAGCAGCAGGAATGATGCATTGAACAGAGATGTGGGTACATATGCTAACCCTAATTTGGGTTGTACCCATTATGGGCTACCCCACTACAGCCTACACAGCACAAGCATGATTATAGTTTGACACACCCCCATAGGCAAAGTGGGGGAGAGCAAGGGGTCACAAGACCAGTCAAGAGAAGCAAAGCAAGCTCATGGTGGATCACAACATCACCACACACACTGAGCACAAGCAAAGGGCGACAAAGCCAGTTCACATGCAGAGGTATATATGCAACAACAGCATCACAGTGATCTCTACCTAGCAGAGCAAGCAAGCAGGTATATATATAGATCACAGTATAAACAAGGTCTACAGCAAGTGAGGAAAAGTGGGCACAAGGCCTAACAAAGTGCAGAAACGCTGATGATCACCAGACGGAAGTGCCTTGGTGAATATATCAGCAGTGTTGGCCCGAGTGGCCACGTGAGCAAGACGAAGCTGACCTCGCTGCTGCAACTCTCGAGCGAGGAAGTAACGCAGAGCGATGTGCTTCGTTCTGTGCTCCAGTCTGTGCTCCTGACACAAGGCAATGGCGGCCTTGTTGTCTACGTACAGCACTGGAGGAGAACGAGGCCGCTCTCCCAGGTCGGTCAGCAGGTAGGTGAGCCAGCGTAGCTCCTGTGCAGCCATGGCTGTGGCGTAGATCTCAGCCTCACAGCTGGAGCCGAGAAAAGAAGACGAGCGTGTAGACCGCCAAGAAACAGAGCCAGAGCCAAGGCTGAAGGTGTAACCCTGTGACGACCGCTGTGTAGCCAGGTCGTCAACCCAAGAAGCGTCCGAGTGCCCAGTGAGGACAACTGGGCTCCGCCCTCCAAGCACGAGCCCCATGCCCGATGTACTGCACAAGTAGCGTAGTACCCTCTTAGCAGCAGCCATGTGCTCCGGTCGGTGCCTACCACGAGCCACGTAGCGAGCGAGAAGGCCAAGAGGGTACGCAAGGTCAGGACGAGTGCAGGTCATCAGGTACATGAGGCAGCCCACTAGCTCTGGGTAAGGACCACTCGGCTCTACGGACTCGTTCGAAGGTGGAGCTGAGAGCGAGTGATCTGTAGCCAGAGGAGTGTGCTGTGGCGAGGACCAGGTGAAGCCGAAGCGCTGAAGGACCTGCTGCACCATGTGTGAGTGAGTTAGTGTGATGGTGCGGCGTGCTCTGTCCCGGGTGATCTGCAAGCCAAGGTAACTACGCAGCTCACCCATGTCTGTGCACGTGTGTCTCTTCTGCAGCTCCGACTTCACGTGGGCGAGAGCCTCAGTGTCCGCCGTGGCAAAGACCAAGTCATCGACGTACACGAGGATGTAGAACGGCGGCAGCGAAGTGTCGGTGCGCAGAAACAGCGACGGGTCAGCAGTAGAAGGCGCGAACCCAAGAGCCGCAAGTGTCGTCCTCAGTGTGACGTGCCACTCACGTGGCGCCTGGCGGAGACCGTAGACCGGCCGCCGGAGGCTCCACTGGGTACCAGGAGGGAACGACCCAGTGAAGCCAGGAGGGCGGCGCAGCCAGATCTCCTCGTGCAGGCTGCCCTGCAAGAAAGCAGTGCTGAAGTCAAGAGAGTGAAGCTCGTAGTCACGCTGAGCGGCAACGTGCAGCAGCACCCGAAGAGTGGTCATCTTCGGGGTGGGGGAGAAGGTCTGGAAGAAGTCAACTCCCTCTCGCTGTCTGAAACTTCGAGCCTTGAAGACAAGCGGAGAACCTGGCGGCCGCTTCACCCTGAAAATCCACATGCCACTGACGATGTTCGCCCTAGGAGGGGGAACCTCGTCGACGTAGGTGCCTGTGGACTTCCAGGATGCCATCTCTGCGTCCATGGCTGTCTGCCACTGAGAGGAGTACTCACCCGCGATCGCCTCAGCGTGGGGTCGGGATGTTTGGAGCATCCGGGTCTCCCTCAGGGGCAAGCAGCATGGACACGAGATGAGGCGCAGCGGCTGCAAGACACTCAAGGTCCTCCTGCCTGTCCTCAAGGACGTCCGTGCCAAAAGCACACTCACCCCCGACGGACGGAGGACAGACAGACTCAGACTCAGCAGCAAGACTAACGGCGTAGTCTAGACGACAGGCAGCAGCAAAGTCAACAAGCTCAGCGACTAAGGGCGTATCCCTGCGTGGTGGCAGGGCCACTGTAGATGGCAGCCTGCCACGAACACATAAAACGCCAGGTTGGTGTCAGGAAATTTGGCGCGCGAATACAGGTGCGTGATTGGGCAATGTTCCAAAAATGTCACTTCAATGCCACCAAATACGAGTCGAGCGCGCCTCGGTAAAAATGTTGGTGGCATGCGGTTTTCCCGCATGCCACCAACTCTGCCATCTACAGTGGCCCTGCCACCACCCAGGGATACGCCCTAAGGCAGACGCAGCAGCAGACTCAAACGACGGGTCAGTGACAAAAGTGGCTAGCAGACGTGTGACAGTAGGGCTAGCAGCACGAACGCGGTCAGACTCAGGTTCAGGAACGGTAGGCAGAGAAGACACAGGAGGGGACGGCAGGGGAACACGCTGCGGAGGAGAGGAAGGACGACGAACTACGAGGTGGGTGCCGGGGACAACCGGCTGACGCGAACGAGGAACACGACGACCGAAACGACCAGAACAGACAGGCGAGATAGGACGCGACGCAGGCTCACGACGCTCAGTAAAACCCCCTGACTGCTCAGTGTAAGGAGAAGGAGCAGGCAGCGGTGAGCCAGGCTGTAACGGAAGACCAGTAGACGAAGGGAGACTAAGAACCTGGCGAAGTACAGAGTCAGACGGTGGCTGAGACGACGTAGACGGCGGAGCAAAGAACAGGCGCGGCTGTGCAGTGCCACCAGCACCAGCAGCTCCAGGACCTCCAGCACCAGACCCCTCAGCGCCAGCTCCTCCAGGACCAGCTCCACAAGCAGCAGCACCCTCAGAACCAGCACCTCCAGTCCCAGGGTCCCCAGCCTCAGTGTCACCAGCAGCAGCACCCCCAGACCCAGGGTCTCCAGCAGTAGCGCCCTCAGGCTCAGCACCTCCAGCCCCAGCAGCTCCAGTACCTCCAGTACGAGCACCTCCGGGACCAGCACCACTCCCAGCTCCAGTGACGGCAGCAGAAGTACCTCCATCGGCAGAGCGCCGAGCTCCAGAAGCGCGACCCCGACGGCGACCGTGCCAGTCGTGCAGCTGCTGAGAGGTGAGAGGCACACGCGGACGAAGGCGGCTACTCCAAGGAGACCGCACAACAGCAGACTCAGAACCCTCAGCACCAGCACCCGCAGCAGCTGCAGGACCTCTAGCGCCAGTACCCTCAGCAGCTCCAGAACCTCCAGCTCCAGCACCCTCAGCACCTCCAGAACCTCCAGCAGAAACAACTCCAGTAGCAGAGTCACCGGCTCCAGCGCCTCCCGCAGCAGGGCCCCTAGCTCCAGCAGCGCGACCCTGACGGCCAACGTACCACTCACGCAACTGCTGTGGAGAGAGAGGGAGTCGACGACGAGAGTGCAGCGGCGAGGTACCAGCGGAGCGACTACGGAGACGGCCGCCCCAGGGAGACTGCTCACCAGACGCCTCAGCGCTCCCAGGTGCAGCACCCCCAGACTCAGTACCCCCAGGCTCAGCACCCCCAGACTCCTCACGCATAGACTCAGCACCTCTAGTCTCCGCACCCCCAGGCTCCGCACCTCTAGGCTCCGCACCCCCAGGCTCAGCACCCCCAGGCTCCGCACCCCCAGGCTCAGCACCCCCAGGCTCCGCACCCCAAGGCTCAGCACCCCCAGTAGCAGCACCCCGAGCAGGACCACCCTCAGCAGGACCTGAGTCACCACTGGCCTCAACCGGCGTAGGTAAGAGAGGAGGGTCTACCTAAGACACACCTGAAGGAGCAGGACCGGGAGTGGGGAGGGGGTCTACCTGGGGAGCACCTGGAGCGAGGAAGAGCGGCGGAGGGGGGAGAGGGGCAGTGCGGTAGGGGAAGAGACAGTAAAAGGGAACCGACTCGTCGAACGTGACATCCTGAGAGGGGAAGACACGGCGCGAGGTGGGGTGGTAAAACTGCCAACCAGGCGCGCCAGGGACAAAGCCAAGGAAGACACAGGGAACAGCGCGGGCGGAGAGCTTGTCCGCGGTGGTATCGCG